TTTGTTTTAGTTTTTTTTTTTTTTTCCCCTCGAATTTTCCACAGGATGGCATTTAATTTAACTTCTAATTTAACTTATCTCCATGGTAACAAGCAGCCACGTCGCCAGGCCAAGTTACGGGTCAGGTCTGCGGAGAAGTGGGCTCGCTCGCCGTAAAAACGCAAGGGAGTTTTGAGAAATAACAGCTCCTTTAACTGAATAAATGAATAAATAAATGCAAGATATTTTTGTTTAAAGCCATACTGTGGGAAAAAATAACATCACCATGGAGACGAGCAAATTCATTATTAAACAGATAATGATTCGTTTTTTCAGTTTTCGATTTTGTGTTTAAATGGAAAATGGAAAAAAAAACAGATAACGGACGTTTCCCGTTTACGTGACTTAAACTGCGATGCCGGACTGAACCAGAAAGGACTAAACCAGGTCTAAACCAGGTCTAAACCAGGTCTAAACCAGGTCTAAACAGTTTGCCGTCGTGGTCTCAGTTTCGGTCTGGTCTCGGCTTCAGTCCTGGTCTAGTCCCAGTCTGGTCCCAGTCCCAGTCCTAATCCTGGTCCCAGTCCTAACCCTGGTCCTGGTTTCAGTCCTTTTCTGGTCCTGGTCTCAGTCCTGATCCTGGTCTCCTCCTGATCCTGGTCTCAGTCCTGATCCTGGTCCCAGTCCTGATCCTGGTCCCAGTCCTGATCCTGGTCCCAGTCCTGGTCCTGGTCTGGTCCTGGTCTTAGCCCTGATCCTGGTCCCAGTCCTAATCCTGGTCCCGGTCTCAGTCCTGGTCCCAGTCCTGGTCCCAATCCTGGTCTGGTCCCAGTCTTAGCCCTGTTCTAGTCCTGCTCTAGTCTTAGTTTAGTCCTGTTCTAGTCCTTGCTCTAGTCCTGGTTTATTCCTGGTTCTAGTCTTGGTATAGTCCTGTTCTAATCCTGGTTTATTCCCAGTCCTAATCCTGGTCCCGGTCTGAGTCCTAATCCTGGTCCCGGTCTCAGTCCTGATCAAGTCCTGATCCTGGTCCGGTCCCAGTCCTGATCTGATCCTGGTCTGATCTCATTCTCAGTCCTAAAACAGGACTAAACCAGAACTGAACCAGGACTAAACCAGGACTGACCCAGGAGTGTCGGAAACGGGAAACTTCCATTATCCGTTTTTTTCCCATTTTTCATTTAAACACAAAATTGAAAACTGAAAAAAAAAAAAAAAAATCATTATCTGTTTTTTTTTTTTTTTTTCATTTTGGTTTTGGAGACAAATAACAAAGAAAATAGTTTTTTTTTCGTTTTCTTATTTTTGGTTTTATTTTGAAAAACAAATGAACGAACGTCACACGGGTTCAAGCAGACGGCAGACGCGCCACCAGAAAAGTTCCGCAGTGCACCTTTAATCTTTCCTTTATAGCGTTTTTAACATTTTCCGCAACTCCGCTCTCCCCGCTCAGTGATTTTTTCCGTTCCTCTGGATTCCGACTCCACATGTATCGGCGTCTGGGCCCCTGAACGCCTCACGGTGCGTTCACAGACGCAGGTAAAGGGTCGTCCAACGCAGCGCTCCGGGTTCAAAGGTCACTTATCTGGACTTTCATTACAGATCGGGATAAGGAGGCAAGGAAAGGAGACAAGGAAGCTCCAAAGTACTTTTACTATGATAACAATGACCACAGGCTACTACTACTACTACTACTACTACTACTACTACTACTACTACTACTACTACTACTACTACTACTACTAGTCTACTGACTTGGTCCCGGTCTGGTCCCCCTGAGTCCTGGTCCCCAGTCTGGTCCCCGGTCTGGTCCCCGGTCTGGTCCCCGGTCTGGTCCTTCCTCTAGTCCCTGGTCTGGTCCCTGGTCTGGTCCCAGGTCTGGTCTGGTCCCTGGTCTAGTCCCTGGTCTAGTCCCTGGTCTGGTCACTGGTCTAATCCCTGGTCTAGTCCTGGTCTAGCCTCTGAGACCTGAGTCCATCTGAGCAGTCCCCGGTCTGGTCCCTGGTCTGGTCTGGTCCCTGGTCTGGTCCCTGGTCTGGTCCCTGGTCTGGTCCCTGGTCTAGTCCCTGGTCCGCTCCTTCTTCTAGTCTCTGGTCTGGTCCAAGGTTTGGTCCCAGGTCTGGTCCCACGTCAAGGTCTTTGGTCTAGTCCCTGGTCTAATCCCTGGTCTAGTCCCGGTCTAGCCTCTGAGACCTGAATCTATCTGAGCAATCCTGGGTCTAGTCCTGGGTCTTGTCCCAGGTCTAGTCCCAGGTCCGGTCCCTGGTTTAGACACTGATCTGGTCCCTGGTCTGAATCTATCTGAGCAGTTCTGGGTCTGGTCCCAAGTCTGGTCCAGAGTCTGGTCCTGAGTCTGGTCCCTGGTCAAGGCCCTTTTCAAGGACCTGGTCTGGTCCCTGGCAAAGGCCCTGGTCTAGTCCCTGGTCTAGTCTCTGAGACCTGAGTCCATCTGAGCAGTGCCGGGTCTAATCACTGGTCTGGTCCCTCGTCCGTTCCCTGGTCCAGTCCTTGATCTGGTCTCTGGTCTAGTCCCTGGTCCGGTCACTGGTCTAATCCCTGGTCTAATCTTTGAGTCCTGACCTTAAACTAATCATGTATTGATTCATCAGCAGATCCTGATCAGCGCTCAACACGTCTGCGGGGCTAGACCCGGGATGGACCTGGTCTGAGGTTTAAACCTGGTCAGTCCTGGTTCAGTCCGGGTTCAGACCTGGTTTAGACCTGGTTTAGACCTGGTTCAGTCCTGGTTTAGACCTGGTTCAGACCTGTCCTGGTTTAGACCTGGTTTAGACCTGGTTTAGGGTTTAGACCTGGTTTAAGTCCTAGTTTTCCTGGTTAGGTTTAGACCTGGTTTAGACCTGGTTTAGACCTGGTGGTTTAGACCTGGTTCAAACCTGGTTTAAGTCCTAGTTTAGACCTGGTTTAGACCTGGTTTAGACCTGGTTTAGACCTGGTTTAAGTCCTAGTTTAGACCTGGTTTAGACCTGGTTTAAGTCCTAGTTTAGACCTGGTTTAGACCTGGTTTAGACCTGGTTTAGACCTGGTTTAAGTCCTGGTTTAGACCTGGTTTTAGACCTGGTTTAGAGTCCTGGTTTAAGTCCTGGTTTAGACCTGGTTTAGACCTGGTTTAAGTCCTGGTTTAGACCTGGTTTAGACCTGGTTTAGACCTGGTTTAGACCTGGTTTAGACCTGGTTTAGACCTGGTTTAGACCTGGTTTAACCTGGTTTAAGTCCTGGTTTAAGTCCTGGTTTAGACCTGGTTTAAGTCCTGGTTTAGACCTGGTTTAGACCTGGTTTAGACCTGGTTTAGACCTGGTTTAGACCTGGTTTAGGACTTGTAGTTTGTGTTTTGTTATTTAAATTCTCTTTCTTCTCTTCACATTTCCAGTTCTCCGCCTCCTCCTCGCGCCTGGAGTCTCTTAGTTTCTTAACTCTTCATCTCGTTATGGACCAACTTCTTTTAAATTAAATTTAATTTTTTTATTAAATTTTAAACTGGATCAGATGTCGGGCTCGCGCTCTAATCCTTCGCGTTTCTCCGTGAGTTTCAACACCTCAAAGACCAAACATCCAACAAGTCCACAACCGCACTTTACCCCGACCCTCCGAAGAGTCCTGCGGGGAGTAAAGACCCTGAGCCCGGGACAGAGAGCCTGAAACCCCGGTGCGTCCCCGGTGAGTCCCCGGTGCGTCCCCGGTGCGTCCCGGTGTCGGTGCGTGTCAGTGTCGGTGTCGGTGCGGTGCAGACGGGGTGCAGGTCTTACCGTGCCGCTCGATCCGCCGCTGCGCCGCTTCTGCCGCTGCCCCGGAGCGCGAGACACCCAACTCACCGGCACCAGCAAGCACGCGCGCCAGCATGCACCACTTCCGGTCTGACCTTCACAAGAAAACACTCAAATATGACCAACTTTTACAGCGTAAACGGGACCGGGTCACTTGGAGTTAAACATTTTTTTGTCTAATTAGTAGTTTTCAGATTCAAGGACGCGATAATGTCACACGACAAGACCGGAGCAGAGTGTTTTTTTTTATTTAATTTTATTATTTTTACCATATAACAGAACAGACAGCAGCACATTACTTTGGGCCGAAGGGATAAAACAACAAAGTTACCTGTACGTATGCATGTCATACACAGTGTCGGGGAGTAACAGATTACATGTACCTGGATTATGTAATCAGAGTACAAATTATGAGTAACTGTATTCAGTTACAGTTACTGTTTCAGTGAGTGGTAATTGGATTACAGTTACTTTGTTGAAATAAGTGGATTACATGGCGGTATTTTCCTGTTTTCACATTTTGGGCTAAACCAGGTCTAAACCAGGACTAAATCAGGACTAAAACCAAGACTAAACCAGGACTAAAACCAAGACTAAACCAGGACTAAACCAGACTAAAACCAGGACTAAACCAGGACTAAACCAGGACTAAACCAGGACTAAACCAGGACTAAAAGCAGGACTAAACCAGGACTAAAACCAAGACTAAACCAGGACTAAACCAGGACTAAACCAGGACTAAAACCAGGACTAAAACCAGGACTAAAAGCAGGACTAAACCAGGACTAAAACCAAGACTAAACCAGGACTAAAACCAGGACTAAAAGCAGGACTAAACCAGGACTAAAACCAAGACTAAACCAGGACTAAAACCAGGACTAAAAGCAGGACTAAACCAGGACTAAAACCAAGACTAAACCAGGACTAAAAGCAGGACTAAAACCAGGACTAAACCAGGACTAAAACCAAGACTAAACCAGGACTAAACCAAGACTAAAACCAAGACTAAACCAGGACTAAAACCAAGACTAAACCAGGACTAAAACCAAGACTAAACCAGGACTAAAACCAGGACTAAACAGGACTAAACCAGGACTAAACCAGGACTAAACCAGGACTAAACAGGACTAAAACCAGGACTAAAACCAGACTAAACCAGACTAAAACCAGGACTAAAACCAGGACTAAAAGCAGGACTAAAGGACTAAACCAGGACTAAAACCAAGACTAAACCAGGACTAAAACCTAAGACTAAACCAGGACTAAAACCAGGACTAAACCAGGACTAAAAGGACTAAAAGGACTAAAACCAAGACTAAACCAGGACTAAAACCAGGACTAAAAGGACAGGACTAAACCAGGACTAAAACCAAGACTAAACCAGGACTAAAACCAAAGACTAAACCAGGACTAAACCAGGACTAAAAGCAAGACTAAACCAGGACTAAAAGCAGGACTAAAACCAAGACTAAAAGCAGGACTAAACCAGGACTAAACCAGGACTAAAACCAAGACTAAAAGCAGGACTAAACCAGGACTAAAAGCAGGACTAAAACCAAGACTAAAAGCAGGACTAAACCAGGACTGAACCAGGTCTAAACAATATGACACTAACAGTAGGTGAACATAATTTAAAGCAGCAGTGACCTCATATATAAATCATTTTTCTATCAATTTAAAAAAAAATATGGTTAAGGGGCTTTTTATTTTCTTTTACAGACAAAACATCTTATGTTCAGATCCTCGTCTTTGCTTCTCGACAGTAAAACAAAAGCCTCTTCATGGAGTCTTACGCTCAACAACCAATTTGAAGAGAACCAACATGAATTTTCAGGATGTGGTTGCTGCATTCATGTAGTTTTAAAAAGCATGACAATATCAAGTAATCCAAAGTATTCAGATTACATTACTCACTTTAAGTAATTTAATGGATTATGTTACAAACTACATTTTGGTGTGTGTAATCTGTAATCTGTAGGGGATTACATTTTAAAAGTCACCTTCCCAACACTGGTCATACATAAGTGCACTCCACAGCAAAAATAAACAATAAAATAAAAAGAAAATCATTTCCACCTGTTACAAATACAAATAATTTCAATTGTAAATAAAAAGGCCACATCGAGACCACATCAATACACTGGAAAAATAAAGATTGGCTTTCCCAGTGTCCTCATCTCAAACGTGTTTTAGTCAAATCTGTCAGAGTCATTTCAGTCAAAAGCAGGTGCCTAAGATTTTACAAAAATATCTATGTTGTCATTCGACCCGGCCAATAATTTTTCATATGAGACTATCCATCAATCCATTTTCTTCCGCTTATCCGGGGTCGGGTCGCGGGGGCAGCAGTCTCAGAAGGGACTCCCACACTTCCCTCTCCACACACACTTCCTCCAGCTCTTCCGGGGGGATTCCGAGAGACACAGTCCCTCCAGTGTGTCCTGGATCTTCCCCGGGGTCTCCTCCCGGTGGGACATGCCCGGAACACCTCTCGAGGGAGACGTCCAGTCCAGGAGCAGCCGGCTCTACTCCGAGCTCCTCCCGTGTGACTGAGCTCCTCACTCTGTCTCTAAAGGAGCGCACAGACCCACCCTGCGGAGGAAACTCATTTTGACCGTCACTACCCAAAGCTCATGATCACAGGAAGCTATAATCTGTTAATAAGCTCTTGATCCTGTACGATTTGAGTTGTACAATAAAAATGTTATGACTAGGGATGGGCATGATTAGTCGATTAATCGATAATTGATCATTAAGAATTTCATCGATTACGTATATTTTTATCGACAAACCGAGTGTAGGTTGTTGTGTGTAGTGTGACCAAACAGGTGTGTACATGTGTCTCTGCATCAGAAGGAGCGAGACACAAACAGTGGGTCAGTCTGCAACGTACCGAAGCACAAATGCGTATTTAACGATGATTTGTACAAGAAATTCCCGCTTTCCGTTGCGTTGGGGACAAGTGTGAGTCCGTGTGCACAGTGTATAAAGCAGCACATATGTTTTCTGTGTCCAGTGGGAAAAAGTTTTTACCCAGGTGAGAGTCGCGCAATGTGGATGACGAGTCCCCACCTCCCTCCCCCCGTACGCTGTCCTGGTATTGACAAACGCAAATCTGGTCACACTAACCTGTATTCACCTGAGTCATGTCTTTTAATCCAACAGAAATTGAACCACATCAGCGACACAAGAGCTGTAGTTTTTTATCTTTGCTGAGTTTATGCAAATTAGCGATTCGGTTTTAAGTTTCGTTTCTGTGAGATTGAGCAAAACTGAATTAAACACATTATAATGTCCAAACAGGCTGATGTGGCTCTAGAGTCGTTACGGTTTATTTGTCGTAAAGTTGAATTTATTTATGCAGATTAGTAGTGCAGATAGTAATAATAATGATGATCATTTTAATATAAAAACGTTAATGATTAATCGATAATCGATCGTTAATTCTCTCGACGATCGATTAAGAAAATTTTATCGAATGCCCGTCCCTAGTTATGACTAATATTTATTTAGATTTTAGTCAAGCGTGATGGATGAATTTAATTAATTGTTTATGGAACAAACCATTCTGCCCTGGAGCTCTGTAACACTTTGTTTTGTTATTGTGTTTTTATACGTGTTTTTTGTTCATAATGTGAATGAATGAAATGTGAAATGTGGGAAACAGGAAACAGTGAGATTCTTATAAAACATAAACTATAATCTATTTATTAGTGCAAAGTGGAGCAACAAAATTATATATTTACAGTGGTAATGGATAAAAATGTACTTATTTAGTGCAATATAATCAGTGTTGGGGAGTAACAGATTACATGTACCAGAGTTACGTAATCAGAGTACAAATTATGAGTAACTGTATTCAGTTACAGTTACTGTTTCAGTGAGTGGTAATTGGATTACAGTTACTTTGTTGAAATAAATGGATTACAGGCCAGGATTTTCCTGTTTTCACATTTTGGGCTGTACCCCGTTTTTTTTTTTTCCTTTTTTTTTTTCCCCTGTAATTCCACTCATTGCCGGAAACTAAGCCAGGACTAAACCAGGACTAAACCAGGACTAAACCAGGACTAAACAGTCTAAACCAGGACTAAACCAGGTCTAAACCAGGACTAAACCAGGTCTAAACCAGGACTAAACCAGGTCTAAACCAGGACTAAACCAGGTCTAAACCAGGACCAGGACTAAACCAGGTCTAAACCAGGTCTAAACCAGGACTAAACCAGGACTAAACCAGGTCTAAACCAGGACTAAACCAGGACTAAAACAGGACTAAAACCAGGACTAAACCAGGACTAAACCAGGTCTAAACCAGGTCTAAACCAGGTCTAAACCAGGTCTAAACCAGGTCTAAACCAGGACTAAACCAGGTCTAAACCAGGTCTAAACCAGGACTAAACCAGGTCTAAAACCAGGAGTAAAACAGGACTAAAACAGGACTAAACCAGGACTAAACCAGGTCTAAACCAGGTCTAAACCAGGTCTAAACCAGGACTAAACCAGGAGTAAAACGGGACTAAAACAGGACTAAAACAGGATTTAACAGGACTAAACCAGGTCTAAACTAGGACTAAACCAGGACTAAAACCAGGTCTAAACTAGATCTAAACCAGGTCTAAACTAGATCTAAACCAGGTCTAAACCAGGACTAAACCAGGACTAAAACCAGGTCTAAACCAGGTCTAAACCAAGTCTAAAACCAGGATTAAACCAGGAGTAAAATGGGACTAAAACAGGATTTAACAGGACTAAACCAGGACTAAACCTGGAGTAAAATAGGACTAAAACAGGATTTAAACAGGACTAAACCAGGTCTAAACTAGATCTAAACCTGGACTAAAAACAGGTCTAAACTAGATCTAAACCTGGTCTAAAACCAGAACTAACCCAGAACTAAACCAGGACTAAACCAGACCTAAAACAGGATTTAACAGGACTAAATCATGCTGCGTGGACGTGTTTCCTCTTCTTCTATCAATAATATTTTTAATATAGTTCAGTAAAGTCTGGGCTTTTTATTTTCTTTTAGCAGATAAAACTTCTTACGTTGAGATTTCCTCGTCTTTGCTTCTAAAG